TCCAATTATGCCTTGCACAATTTGAAATGATTTATTTTCTTATTTATTATACAATATTGTAAGTATTATTAATGCCCGTCCTTTTTAAGAAAACATTAGGAACGGGCAGTAATGGCACAGTAACCCGTCCCTTTTTCACCCGTCCTTTTCAAGATTTCCCCAATGAATAATAGAAAAGGACGGGGGACGGGTTGCTGTGCCTTGACCCGCGCCACGTCCGTCCATCATAATTGCCCGTCCTTTTCTAGTATTAAAGGGCCAAAAGTGAAAAGGACGGGGGACGGGTTCAAGCCACACCTGCCCGTCCCCCGTCCTTTCACGTGTCCCAAAAAAATCCCTATGGCAGGGTTGGATTTTTTAGATGGTATAGCCTTTGTGATAAAACAATCACAGTTTGAAGGATTAAATTCTTTGCCTTGTTGGAGCTTAAAAAGCAGTGTGCAGCAAGATTTAAAAAATGAGTTTTCGAATCATTGTGTATCACATAGACTCCATTTAGCAGGAAAGGATGCTTCAGACAAAATTTTATATTTTCAAAAATATGAAAACATTACAAGAGATCACATTACTAAAATTTGCTTTTACTTTATTAATTAGTTTTTATTCAAATATTAGGAAGAACTATCACTTAAAGTATTGAAATTATGTAAAACTTGATGGTTGTCATTTTCAAATGTTGCAAATAATTTACAACAAACACAACCTTTATTTGATCAAGAATTTATTTCTGCAACAATATTTCTAAACCAATTAAAGATATAACCTCTAAATTTATAAGTTATGAAGTTCCACCAAATTATGGTGTAATATTTAAAAATCATTTAAGTGAACATAATCAGTTAGTATTTTTGTTTGCCATTGCAATAATAGATTCGATTGTCAATAGACTCTCTGAATCTAAATTATATTTTTCTTTTAATATTTTGATCCAAAAGGACTTCCTGATAATGATTGAGATTTAATTATAAATGGAATAAATGAGATAAAGTTTTTAGATAAATTTTATGGAAAAAATAAAACTCGTAGAATGAAGCTTTGTAAAATCCTATCTCCAATTGTACAAAAAATACAGATTTAGATTTTATTCAATTGTGGAAACAAAATTTAAATAATGATGAAATTTTTTCTTCTAATTACTCAACAATAATAATTATTCTTAAAATAGCATACATATTGATACTTTGAATAATCATTTAATGATATTATTAAATGGACCGGAAGTAGAAGATTTTGATTTTGTTGTTTACTAATTAAATTTAAATTGGCAATCATTTAACGACCTGCAGGGTGCATTTTGAAACAAGTATTAATAGACCTGTTGTATAAATATTTTTTCTTAAATTATCAAGGCTAACTACACGTTATTTAGAATTGGTTGGGAGATTGTGGGCATTATTATTAAAAACTATTTTGTTACATGCCTTAAACTAAATACATTAAATAAATAAAATTACAATAATAATTTAAAACCGAAATTTCTCATTGAATTTGATTTAGTAAATTATATTCAGCAAATGCTACTGAATTATTACGAATGTCATTCCATCCATTAACTGGTGTTTTAATTGTTTCAAGCATACATCCATCATGATTTAACTTACCCAAAATTATGGAATTATCAGGCATAGTCATTCTACCATCAAAACTTGTACAAAGTGGATATATTATTGAATAAGTTTTTGACTTACAACCAGAAAATATATGAACTTTTCCATCTAATGAATTTCTTTTTAAATCATTCTCATCAATGTATTGATACCTTTCTTGTACCGACTCTATCAAAATCTTTTCATCGATAAATGGTAATGTTGCAGTGCCATTACCCTTTGTTGGATAATTTTTTGGGAGAAAATCCTTCAAAGGTGATTCAGGATCTGTGAGAAGGTCACGTAGTGATTCAGGTAGAAGGTAGCTAGTTGATGGTGGTATGATATAAACCAATTGTTCAAATGGATTCATCGGAAAATCTGAAGTGAACGATGGGTTGAATATTCTAGGATTTACATATTTCAAAATTTCATTCATAGTGGGTGATTTATGGTAAGAATAGGAAAATCTCCAACTAGGACAACTTCCATTATGATATAGGACTGACCATAACATTGTTTTTAAATAGTCATTAGCTCGGTTTTCAAGTGTCTCTTCACCAAGATTTTCCGATATAAGACTATCACTTTTTACAAGTGGATTAAGATTACAAACATATTGCAAACACTTAAAGAATTCAAGTAAATGTTCGAAATTTATTAATGGTGGTTGCTGTTGTTGTTGTTTCTGTTGTTGTCGCTGTTGTTGTAGTTTTCTATTTGTGATGTAATAGCCATTAAAATATTTAAAATAGGCTTTAAACAATGTACCAACTGATGCTTCGCCAACATGTTTTAATCTTGGCATAAAATCGTTTCCAAGTAAGTTGACAAGACATGCAAAATCATCAATCAAGTTATTCCCATCAATTTTTTTCCCGCCCACTCCACCACCACCACCTACCATATCTGCAAGGATATGTTTACGTAATTTGTGAACGTTAACTATTTTGTAATCACCATTATTTCCTGATCGTAGTATACATATATTGTGTTTATGCGTCAGCAATGCATACATTATAAAATCTGCATCACTTCCATATACAACATGTCGATTATTTGGGTCGTAACGTTGTGTATTTAAATATCTAAAAATTTTGTGTTCTCCTTCGCCTGGTACTTTGGAATCATTGAATATTATTTGAAGCGCTTTATACTTTCCGTTCAAGCGTTGATATATGTAAAATCTGATTGCATTATTTGCTGCAGTCATAAAATCTGTTCCTGCAGTAATAGCAACTGAGTTTATTGGAACAAAGAACTCAAAATTATCACTTCCATTTATATTGCTGCTACTATTACCACTAGTATCATTGATGTTATCATTTTGATGAGTGTATCTTCGTGACCTTTGTTCATTCATCTTAGCTTTTGGTGCAACACCATCCATTGCAATGTAAACAAACTGTGGACTACAACTTTCAATGACATAGTCCATTTCTCCAAATACTTCAGATAACATTCGACGTGGACTTCCCGGTCCTTTTTTTTTTACTTGTTTTTTATGCAAAGCGACATGAAACAATGCATTAATGTCTAAATATAAAGAAACAACTTTATTTCTTGGATTAGTTGTTTCTATAATATCTGGATAACGTTCAGAAAGCCATTTAAAAAACCCCGGAATACCCATTTTTTATAAAAATAAATAGAAATGGGAAAAGAGAAATAATGGTCAATTGTTTGTATTTTTGCGTTACATGTTGAACATAATACTTGCGCAGATCAATTGAATGAATAATAATAAACTTTTATCAAAAAGTAAAAAAATAAATAATAAATTATTAATCAACAATGTTATCATCATCAAAATATAAAACATCAGGCTCTCTAACATCTTTAGAATAGAATTTCTTATTAGTTGCCATCTCCAATAATTCCAATTCAGCAGGTGATTTGTCTAATATGGAGCGTTTTGATCCTGGTGGTATCTCGTCTAGATCTCGTTCAGTAGGTTTAACCAACCAAACTTGATATAAATTATTAACATCGAATTGTTAATTTATTATTATAATTATATTAATTATACTACTATCGTTACCTTCAATTTCCTCAACTATAAATTCTTGTTTTTTTGATAATTGTGGATTAGCGTACGTTGATGATAATGGTTCTGCTTTTGAGTGGCCATTTATAAAATTTTCGTTTATCCACAATCCACAATAACCAAATTGTCCACCCATTCCTAATCCTATTAAACAATTTTAATAATAAATATACAAATTGACCGATTAAAAATACAATCATAAAACTCACATACGCATACACGGACATTGATAAGTTACCATTGGGTAAAGTTTTTGTCCCAAAATTTAAATATTGAAAATTCTCATTATAACTTGATGCAGTATAGCATCTTAATTTTGGTTTAATTGTGAATAGAAAATTTCTTCCTGTCCCATAAAATTTAGAATTTTGTTCCCAATCATCATAAGCAAAACCTCCAAATATATAATTATCTTTATCTTTGATGATAATCAATGTTGACCCTTTATATAATAAAGAATTAACAAAAGTAAACCAACTGTCACCATTTAATCTAGAAGAAAACAACAAGAAGTGCTTTTGAGTTCTACAATCTATTGGCAAATTATGATTTAAAATATAATAATCACTCGGTGTTAATAAATTAGAAAATTTAGGAAATTTGAACGGTGAGTTTATTTCAGGTGATAAATTATTATTGATTCTTTGTGTGTTAATGAAATCAGCTAATTTATAATTTATAATTTTTTGTAAGAATAATCTGTTAATCAAAATATTAAATAAATGTTGAAATTGTGTGTTGGATGTGTACCAATCCATTAATGATCCTTCATTGAAATATCCTTCTACATCTGATTCTTTGATAAGATTATGTAATACTTCTTTGTTCTCTTCTTCTGATTCTTGATGTTTTAGCTTTGGTAATAATATTAAATAATCAATTAAATTGCAATAGTCATTTTCATTTTCTATATCATTCTTTGATTTCTTTTCGTGTTCAAAGCTTCCCTCAAACCAATAAAATATTGATGCTTTTGTCACTTGTTGTATAAATTTTCTTAATTTACTTTGCATCAATCTACCTACAATATAAATTGCTTGTGATTGCTCATCTGGTAAGGATTTAATTAGATTCTTAAGAGCTGAAAAAAATCCAATTTTAGTTATTAACATTGAAGAGGACGAAGAAGTTTGTATAAATCTCTCTAATTTTTCATGAGAAACTTCTTTTTTCTTTTCTAAAGATGTTATTGTTGATTGAATTTGAAAATAGAACACAAATCCATCTTTAAGATCTTCTTCGATAACAGAAGGTAAGTGATTCTATTATGGAAAGAAAAGTTTTAATGATTTTAATATCAAATCATTATTATCATTATTTTTTTTGCTGCTCACTCATTCATACTTTAACATTTGAAACTAATACACCTAATTGTTTTTGATTTGAGCCATCTGGAATAAATTTGTTAAAATCTTGTAAAAGAATATTTCTTTCTTCTTCTGAAAATTTGGAAATAATTTCTTGGAATTGAACTTCTGAATCTTTACTTGAATTAACACCCATATTTCAAAGTGAACAATTAAAATTTCAGGAGTTAAAATAATAATTGGGGCAGACTGCAACAAAACCAGACATAGTGACCATTTGTATTACCAAAAATTTCAGGGATCAAAATTCAGTCATTATTATAATCATGTTGTAATTATAATTTAACAGTCCAATTTGTTACCTTAAGTGATATATAGAACTGTCCCTATATAAAATAATTAATATGAAATTAATTTATATCAAAATTCAGTCATTATTATAATCATGTTGTAATTATAATTTAACAGTCCAATTTGTTACCTTAAGTGATATATAGAACTGTCCCTATATAAAATAATTAATATGAAATTAATTTATATCAGATCTACTATGGAGCCCAAGAATTATAGGACCATCAGAAGTATTTTAAAGAAAGAACAAGGTGAAAAAATTGCTCCTTACATTTTCAAAATAAATGATACTCAAACACTTGCAGCTTATCTAAGAAAAGAAAGAATTATGAAATTTACCAAGAAGAAAGAAAAATAATAAATGTTGGAAAAAGAAAGCATCATGATGATGCATTATTACCTAATAAAAAGCAAAAATCTTTAAAAGGAAAAGGAAAATAACTACCATTTTCTTTGATAGTTGGAATTATACAGAGGGAAATTTCCTCAATTACTTTTTTATTTTCAATCAAGACCATCTTTTAGTCTCTTTGACTTCAATTTGAGTAGTTAATTGACCATTTTGTTGATCTTTTAATTTCTTATTTTCTAGAATTAACTCAGCATTCTCTGCTTCTAATTCTTTTATTCTATCCAAAAATTTTTGCCTTTGCTTTTTACCTCACTCTTCAGACTTTTCATGAAATTTGGTTATCTCTTCTCTCTCAACTTTCAATTCTTCTCTGGTAATTGATAACTCTTTTTCTAGTTCTCTAGTTTTATTTTCTAGGCGAAAACTGAAAGCTTGTGAAAGTAGTTCTTTGTCAGAAAGTGGTTTAGTTGATTTAGCTTTTAAATGACTACAAAAACATCTGTTTCTATTCCTTTTTAACCTACCACATTTCTCACATCATGGAAGAGTATTATTATCATAATCTTTTTTACATTCACCACAGATAAAGACAATGTCAGAATAACCATCAGGAGTATTACGAGCCACCATTTGATGAGTAGCAGGAGCAGTATCAAAATTAAGGAGAGTTGGGTCATCAAAATCTAGAAGACAGAAGTTACACTCTTGTTCATCTCCCTGGGTTATTTCTAGAATTCTATATTCTAATCTCATATTAAATTACTTACTTTTTTGAACAATGAAAGTTTGGAACTTCTTAGTCTTTTCTTTTACTCTGCTTACTAATTTTTTGAGCCTGTGTAATCTGTTTTCTTTTTGTTGTTTTGGTAAAGCTGGTAATTCTTTGCTTTCTAAATAATCTCTTCAATTTATTTTTTGACCTTTAGCCAACAAATTATTTTCCAATAAATCTATTCAGTCTTGAAGTTTGCCCATTGCAGCATCATGCTTCAACACAGTTTCAAATATTTGTCATTTTCTCAATTCCATGGCTTTATTTAGTGCTTTTTCACCCTCTTCTCGCTCCATTCATACTTCATCATCTAACTCTTCTACTCTTTCTTCTAATTCCTTAATTTTTTCAAGCAATTCATTCCTTTCTTTATCTAAACTAGTTGTTAGTGGCTGTAGTCTTTTAACTTCTTCATTAGCTTTTACTCATCAATTCATTGCATTTTTATGCATGTAAATAAGACAAACAAAACTTTTTCTAAATTCTTTGTCTTCTAAGTGTTTTAATGCATAAGGGTGAAGTCAAAAATAATCTACAACTGCTCTTATCTCTGTTTCATCTGGATTTTGGTTTAAACTACCAATTAGTTCTCTTATTTCCTCTTTGGTTAAAATTATTTCCTGGTTTGTCATGATTTTACTTTTTTTTTTTTATTCTTATAATATACTTATATCCTTTTTATGGGCATATTAAGTATATAAATTATTTTAGTACTTTTTTACTTTAAAAGCTAACAAAACATTAAACTTATTAAACTTAATAACAGCAAGAGACAAATTAATAAGTGATAAAGTCATGGAAGTGATTTTGTTCTAAATATTTTATTTGTTGCCAATATGGAATGGTTTTGGGCAAGTAATATCTTTAAATTCATCTCTGACAAATGGGCGAATATTATGATAAAGATATTCTTGTCTTTTGTAATCCAAAAGAGGAGGTGTTAACACTAAAATAGATAATGCTCTAATTTCTTCAAAAATATCTGTTTTCTTGGTTTTCAATAAATTGAATTCAGCAAAAGGTCCATTAGCAACTTCTTGAACTTTCACTGTACCAAAATTAGATGCTTCAAAAAGAAAATGTTGACATTTCTGTATACTTGGTAATTTCTTGAAATAAATTCCCAAAATAGCTTTAATATCTAAGTATTGAAAACCTTTTCCACCTTCATAACATTGAGCTTTATTCAATCCTGCTGGACTATATAGACTTTTTTACCACTGCAACCACATGATCCAGACAATCTACTCTGGTTCTTCTGTAGAGTTTTTTAATCAATCCAAAACTACCATCACATTTGAATTTTGTATGTCCTGGAACCATGAAATTTAATTCAATGCTTTTGTAATAACCACAAATTACCAAATATAAATAAAACCAAATCATTACATTATTTTTATTTTGTCCCCCAGCATTATCACAAGTAATCTTCAAATGCTTTTCACCTTGGTTCAATTTCTTAATTCCATCAAATATCATGCTAAGAGTGCCATTGGGACCTTTGCCTATAATTTCATTTTCATTAAGAACATAATTAATTTGCTCCCTTACTGCTTCATCTTGAATACCAAATAAATGAACTTTACATGGACTAAGATAATAAATTTTACTTACTTGTTG